TAGGAGGCTATACTGAGATACAATGTTGCTTATTCCAAGAAATGGGATTTCACAGCTCTTACTGACTTCTGTGAGAAGGTAAAGCAAGTTGATTTAAAATAGGAAGAAAAGTAAAAGATAAGTGACTACTTTGTCTATATATCTCAATGCTTTTGGCTTTATTTCCCTTTTCAAGAGTAAAGATTTTGCAATCATCACCTATATGGACAGTTATTTGACTGGTAACTTCAGTTGAATAGATAATTATACTTTATAAACTGGATTAATTTTAAATCTTGAGCAGGTAATTTGGGTGCTTTAATAGCAACTAAAGGTTACTGAAGGTAAGGTGAGAAATGCCTTTTCTCTGTTTTATGAAAACTAGATTAATTCATAAATTGTATTAATATTTCCAGTGTAATGGTTTTTTGTTTTGAAAAGTGTTGCTCTCTTTCCTTTTTTAAACAATTTTAATGTTTTATTACAGTGGTGTTTGTATATACTGTGCTTTGCTGATCTAAAAGTAAAATTTTGCTATATGCTGGGATGATTAATTGAAACTGTAGAGCCTTTCAAAGATGGAGGTGGTTTTTATGACTTCATGTCACCTTCCTGGAAGAGGATGGAAAAAAAGAAAAATTAATAGTAGGTGGCAAATGCAGGTTGGGCTATTACTCATGTACATCCTGAGTCATGATCAGAAACTGCTAATTGAAGTGGGATAGGAGATGAAATGAGAAGCAATAGAAATTGTATTTTTCTCCCACCAGCTCAGAACTGCTTTTAAAACACATGTGCTTGTTTTCTTGGGAGGGGCTTGCTAAGATGTATGAAGGTTTAGTGGAAACCAAGTTTGATTTTAAGTTAATTTTGTCAGTTATGTATGTTTAAAATAGATGTCTGCTTAATTCGTGTGATCAGATGAACTGTTCTTTCTATTGCCTATTTCTGTTGCATATAGGGACTATTTTTTTTACAGAATGAGTTGTTTTGCATGCAACACTATTGTTTTTACTGACAGGAGGTACCTATAAAAATATTGGTAGTATCATATTTGCTAGCCATGAAAATTACTGTGTTCACCCATCTTGTCAGTTTAGTGCCCCCTCCCCCCCCATCTGTGGGGGTCTCTCTGTTTTTCAGACTTTCATGGCTGGATAATAGGGGCCATGGACATTTGTCTTCTTTGCTCCTGTTGACTCTTGTACCAACTGAAATTAACTTGGCCTGTTGAACTGTTCCCTCTTGTGTTTTTAAAGAATACATATTTAAATAGTTAGAATGTTTTTGTAGAATCATAGAACGATTCTACGAAATCAAAACTATTTTAAACTATTTAAAACTTTAGTTTAATTTACTGACAGGAGGTACCTATAAAAATATTGGTAGTATCATATTTGCTAGCCATGAAAATTACTGTGTTCACCCATCTTGTCAGTTTAGTGCCCCCTCCCCCCCCATCTGTGGGGGTCTCTCTGTTTTTCAGACTTTCATGGCTGGATAATAGGGGCCATGGACATTTGTCTTCTTTGCTCCTGTTGACTCTTGTACCAACTGAAATTAACTTGGCCTGTTGAACTGTTCCCTCTTCTGTTTTTAAATTGGGGTGGGGTTTTTTTTGTTGGTCTTTTTGATTATAATATTCTGTCAATTAGTACTGACAGACTATTTTAAACTATTTAAAACTTTAGTTTAATTTTAAACTATTTAAAAATCTGTCCCAGAAATGTACCAGACTTTCATTGTATTGCTACAAACACAACTGAGCTTGTCCTGATGTTTTCGTACTGTGCATCTGGGAGTTTGGAAACTATGGGTGATTAGATTCAGAGATCATCAGCCAGGGAGAGTAAGTAATATCAGCTGTCTCCAGAGAAAAGAGGAACAATAGGGAAATAAACTATGTATTGGGCATCAATCTTTCCTGAGGGTGAAAAGGCAATTTCTGTCACCTGGGAATGATGATTTATTTGTGAGGTTCCTAGATGAAAGGAAAGCTGTTTCAAAACATGTATTTTAGTCCAAGGTGAAGAGTGTGCAGCAGTATATTAAATAAGAAACAGTGAAGCACTGTAGGACAGTGGCTCCTTGTAGACCACAGGAGCAAAATCTTACCCTGGCTTTGTGTGTTGAATGTATTATGTTTAGTGAACAGAATGTGTGGAGTACATCTTGTAGAAAGATGTTTAAGTCTTTTCTGTTATTAAGGGATGTGTGAACTCTTCAAGTTTCGTAAATTAGCAAAGCATCTGCTTTCAAAAACTTTGCATTCTGCTTAAGTGAGCAGATATTAAGTGAAAATTTGAGGTCCTTTTATGGAAATGACCTAAATATACTAGCTGTAGTGAAGTGTGGTTTTTGGAGTTACTATGTTTGGGAGTGAATGATTAAGGGCTTACCACTGGCTTGTGTATTTTCTTGTTTATTTTATCATTTTGAGGGAATAGGGGAACTGTTTCAGATGGTGTTTGCTCAGCAAAAGTTGAGTTGGTTGAAAGGAAAGCTGGTTTGAGTAATCAGCCCAAAGGGAAGGGCAGAAACTTGACAGAGGAAGAAGTAGTCACAAATATGTATTAAAAGAAAAAGATTAAAACTGAGTCTGTGATCCTCAAATATCTGTGTTCTTGGGCACTATTGACTTCCAATGCATTCTTAACCAATAATTCTGTGGTCTGATTTAGAAGGGAGCTGGGTTGACAAATCTAATGTCTGTTCTAATGTTTTGAGGCCACTGTATTCAGATATTGCTTCAATAGGTCTGTGCTTGGTAAATTATAAAATAGCATTCGTTATTTATCTTCCGATTCTGGACACAGCTCACCTTATCTCTTAATCTGTGAAATGCTTTAATATCGTTCTTGCCTTGTGTTTTCTGTTTTAGGTTGTTTCCTTCCAAGTTACACAGTCAAAATATGCATTATTTTTAAATCCTACTTAGATGATTCAAATAAATTTTCTTATAATAACAGTAATTACCAGTTTCTTGGGCTTAAGTTTATTTTTAAGATTAGAAGTCTTTCAGCTTTCTTAACTAAGAAATAAATATCATGTATGTGAGCCAGGATTTTTTTCCAAAACAACATACCCTGATACACATAAGCTGACCAGTTCTACAGCTTGTCCAAAGTGTTGTCAGAAGAGGGAGCCCTCACACTATTTTCAAAAGATTCTTTTGGATGGCAGTTAATGGCAATTCATGTGTGGAAGTAAAAGTCCTGTTTGTACAATCAAGTCAATTTGGAAGCTTGAGGATTTTCTGTTTCTTTTTAAAAGTTCATCAGTAATGTGCGTAAAGCCCTTGGTGTCTCATTTGCTTCAGATATTTGACAGTTGTGTTGTCCTCCACAGAATTTTCACCCTGTTGCATTGATATTTTTTTTTTGCCATCTGTTTGTTAATATTGGCAAACAGGCTTAGGATTTATTCACGTTATTGCTTAATGAATGAAAATCACTAGTGCTAATATTTTTCTTCTTACTTGCAAAATTCTTGTCACTTGGAAGTCATACTTGCATCTGTTTCTGCAGAACTTACCTAAAAGCCAGGCAGGAAAGAGTAAACAAGAAGCAGAGAAGGAAACGTGAGGAAACTGCTGTGGATGGAGCTGTCTTGGAACCCAGAATGTGTTGTAGATGAGTTTTATTTATGTGAATGATGATAGGTTGGGAATTTATTACATGCTTTTGATCAACAGTGCTACGTACTGTAGTAGTTTTTATTTTGCCCTTCCACTTCCAGGCAAGACCAAATTCTTTTGCTTTTTCCCCAAGCACATGAAATAAAAAGTCTAGTAAAGTTGTTCAGGGCTTATGTCTTTAGACTAATCTGCACCAAACCCAACTTTATTTGAAGGGAAGAGTAGGGCTTTATCATTTAAGACAGTCACATAGTCTGCTGCTTTAGATTGGGTCTGCTTGTTCTGGACGTGCTTTGTTTTTATTGTATTGCTTTAAAGTCTTAGAGCTTAAGCATAATTCTTGTTAATGTTGTTTCATGAACTCTTCCCCTTACTGCTTACATCTGTCCTGCTCTTTCAGAAACAGTGGGGTGTTTAAATCTGAAAATGACATGACATTGTATAAGTAGTGCACAGCTTTCTTTAAAGGTGATCTTTCTTTTGAATTCAGTTTAGTTGCATAGTATACAAGAACTTAAGTCAGCAGG